ATCGGCCAAATATCCAATGTCGTGCATCTCTAATACCAAGTGTCATAAAAGTTAAAGAAGGTCATTTTTCCACTCACCTTCTGTGTTTTCTGTCTCTGCAGACACGGAGGTGTGTGGATTTGGCTGGGGCAAGTTTCAGTCTCATTGCTACAAGTACTTCACACACCGTCGGACCTGGGACGCCGCTGAGAGGGAGTGTCGGTTCCACGGCGCCCACCTGGTCAGCATCCTGTCCCAGGAGGAGCAGATCTTTGTCAACCGTAAGTCTGTTCCTGTCCTGCTCACATCTCACCTGTCTGATAAAGTTCCTCCCATCATCCATTCACCCCCATGATCCATCTTGATTTTAGCTTGATTGATGGGTGGGTGTGCTCCCTCCCTCTGCAGGTCTGGGCAACGATTATCAATGGATCGGTCTGAACGACAAGATGTATGAAAGAGACTTCAGGTGGACTGACGGCAGCCCATCGGTGAGACAGAGACTAGAATACTTCACTTAGGTCTCATCCAGGGGCCTGGAAAGACTGTGTGGAGACTTCATGTCTGCTCTCCTGGAACAGTTAATGTAATAGAAACTAAAAGTTTCTCACCAAAGACTAAACTTTATAAACCGATGAATGATAGGTTTGTTTTCTCAAGATGCAAACAACAAGTGGGGGGTGCCCTACGCAAAGAAAAACCACACCAAAACAATCCACAGTTGTTCGATATGTCAACATCCTGAAAACATTTGCTGGTTTGTCCACAGTCATTTAGTCCGTGTCCAAATATAAATTTCTGCACGTTTGCTGTAGAAAACAAGCAAAGTGAAAATGTGTTTGATTCTAATGTAACAGAGTGGAATTCTATATCGTCGGAGGAGAGACGTAAAAATTACACAAAATTACAGAGAACGAAATTCACAAAAATACAACAACAAAGAGACAGAACAACCACAATATGAAGTAAAAATGTCAAAACCTCCACAAAGTTATGCAAAACTTAAAGCAAAGCAAATAAACAAATAAGACACAAAATCTGCTTTGATATTCGATTAGGGATCCCCTTTTGAAATTGGTTTAAAATTGATTAAAGGACCAAGTTTAAAATGAATAATAACTCCGATTTGAACAAAAACTCAGGTAATTTAAATCGCTTAAGCATTTTAACGCCTTTATTATTGTTCAGCCATTGTTTTTGTATTCATGTCATGACTTTCAATGATCTCTTATACAAACAAACATAAGGTGCAGATAAAATATTTGAAAAGAAAAACTGCAAAAATCTTCTCCAAAGAAAATTGTGATTTTGGCAACAGCAGAAAACCCAACCCCTACCGGGTAGTAGCTTCATTAACGTGACGTCCTTTAAAAGTTCTTTAAATGTGTCTTATATTTAATTTATTATTTAGGTATTTGTTAATAAGAATGCATCTGCTCTGTGTTAGTTCTACCTCATGACTCAAAGACAATTTCAAAGACTTTAAATTGAACCGATTGGTGCAAACATGCAGTCCAGTTGGGCGAATCTGGATTTGACGCTTTTCTGCTAAACCCTGCAGCTTCCTGCACTTGTCACATCTTATGGGCTCTGAAGAGAAATGTTTTCATTTTTTAAAATTATTCTTTAAAATAAGTTAAGTTAAAACAACGCCATTACTCATCAGGAGCAATCTCACGGCCTCACATTATTATTATTATTATTTTTTTACAATGATACATGATTGCAGCTGAAGATGTCCCAGGTTTTGGCACAGCAGATGAAACATGGCTATCATCTGTTTCGTCCACTCCCGGCTCACACACGTTGTGTGTCTGCTGGGAACGCTCATGTGAGCTGTGTGAAATGAAGAGAGCAGAGGAAAAAAAGAAGAAGAACTGAAATCTGATGCAGGAAAGGGACTGGTTGTTGTAATGTGTCATCAGTCAGGACACAGACACACCCCGAGTGGGAAACAAAAACTGTCTGCTGCCCCATTTTCAATATGCAACATACTGATTGCAGTTTAAAACAAACTACAGACAATTATGTTTTTCCCCAGTGTAGAGGAAACTTCAGGCTTCTTCATGTCTGTGCATTTTGTTGTCTCGTCAGCACCCTCATCTGGTGCCTCCATGAATCACAGAGAGAGCTATTTGATCTAAAACATCTAAAAAGCTTTAGTCTGATTTTCATTATCTCTGCCTTTCCACCTTTACTTTATCACATGAGTGCCAGTCCTGGGTTCAGAAAATACAACTTAAACATTACACAAATTTAAATGTAATTAATACCTAATTTACACACCAAACTCTTAAAATCAGTTAGAACCAGAACATCCATCACTCCCAAATATGTTCAACTTAAAGGAAAAGTGTCTAACAGTTTGGCAAAAGTAGCTGGTCTGAGTTTTTCAGTTAGTATGTACTGTCTTTGCAAATATTTTCTACACAGCAGACTACCACTTCCTGTCCTTCTTTGGCATTCAGCCAATTAGACTTGAACAGCTCAATAAATCCTAGAAGCTAAAGTGCAAATAAAAAACAGCACAGACCGATTTTTGGCCCCAGGTGGACACATTTTTGAAGCTGCATGCACAGAAAACCATTTTATTTATCTATTTAAAGAAAAAAAGTTGCAATGACATGCATGTAAAACTTCAGTGGGTAAAAATGTTAGATCTTGCATAAAATTCATATTAATGCCTTCCACCAAAAGGGAAGCAGCATTCTACAGATTGCACAAAAGTTTTGTCCAGAATAATAACATTAAATGTTGGGCCTGTTACCAAAATATATAACTAATCTCTCAGTGATTAATTAATTGGCAATTAAATTTAATTGGATATTAAAAATGGCTGTCACAACTTGCTAATAATAATAAATAACATAATTCAGTCACTTTTGCTTATCTGGTGTTAGCTGAAATATGATGTAGTAGCATAATAGAGTTGTACACAACACATATTTTGAGGACTAAAAATTTGCACTAGATCTCTCAATATTTGACCAAAACATTAATAAGTCAAATATGATATTTGTTTAAAACTCAGGCATAAAATGGAATTTGGTCGTTTGGTTTTGTTTCAGCTCTTTTCTTCACATCAGCACATCTGCAGTATCTTAAGGCAGTTTTGAAATAGACCCTCAGTCACAAGAGTTCATGAACACCTGAAGTAGCATTGTGCTGTAATTTGTAGAATACGTCTGTTTAAAGTGACCTTTCAGATTTTTAACGTCAATAGAGCATAATGTCTGGAACTGGTCCCTCTTGCAAATGAGTCCCCGTAGCTCAAGGAGTCTAGCCTGTATGAATAAAGGTTGAATAAAAATTAAAAATAAATCAGAAAACATGACAATGACATCTGAAACGATAAAAAAAAAAAAACAAGTGAAACTAGACTACATGTTTGTTGTCCTTGTTTTAAAGAAGTGAAAATATGTGTTCTGGCAGCAATACGATCACTGGAGGCCGAACCAGCCGGACAGCTTCTTCCAGTCTGGAGAGGACTGTGTGGTGATGATCTGGCACGAGGGGGGGCAGTGGAACGATGTGCCCTGCAACTATCACCTGACCTTCACTTGCAAAAAGGGGACAGGTAAGTTTCATTTTATTATTCTCAGGTGACAATACATACAATGCATTGTAGGGGATTTATGGAGAAATAAAAGAAAGAAAAGAAAAACAATCATGCTCTGTGTTAAAGTCACCTGACCAGAACACCTCACGACAGGGGACAGGGGTAGCACTTGGGATGGCTGAATATTAATCTACGGTGGTTAATACCACCGTAGATTAATCTGCTGTTGTGCCTGATGGTGGATAAAATGACTCTTTGCACTTTCCAGGAGCTTTCACTTTGACTGCGACATACAAGCAATGGAAAAATAAAAACCCTATCGCTCTTTTACACACAGTGTAACTTATATGAACTTGAATACCTTGCACCAAAAACATCAAGGTTTACTTGCATCGCCTGTTCACTTCCAGTCCTGAAAAATCTCTCATCTCGAGAACTACAATTATTCACTATTTCAATCCATCAGCGATGGCGTACCGCTTGTTATTGCTTGTTACAACTTCAGTGCCAGTAAAAATGACTTTTAATAAGAAAAATACTTTTTGCACTACTGAATCTGAGACGTTTGGAACTTCTTTCTTTACATAAAAAAAAGATTGGAACATCTTTACCTCTGTTGTTAATATATGGGGTTGTCCTGCAAGAAAGGGTATTGTTTGAGATTTTGCATGATTCTTGCATCTCTAATAAATATAAGTGACGCTGGATACTAATTATGTTGCTGATGTGCTGCTTTCCATCCAGTGTCATGTGGCCAGCCCCCTGTAGTGAAGCATACGAAGGTGTTTGGTGTCAAGAGGCCACGCTATGAGATCAACGCCCTGGTTCGCTATCACTGTAAACAGGGTTTCATCCAGAGACACAGCCCGATCATACGCTGCCAGTCCAACGGCCTATGGGATGAGCCCAAAGTCACCTGCATTAGCCGTAAGAGACCATATAAACAGTACAAAGTTTCAAAAATGAAAATGAAAGTTTTTAAAACTTCTTTAAATTAACATATGTATTTCCATTTTTTTTAATCTATTCCATCAGCTGCAACGTTCCACGAGTCACTTGTTCGCCGATGCAACATTCAGAAAGAGCAGCAAACCAGGCACCGCACCCACCACACCAAAAGTCACGAGAGGCACAACCAAAACCAAGAGCATGAGCAGAGTAACAACTTGCTGCAGCATATCTGGAACCCTTTCGAGAACCAAATCAGGCAGGCGCACCAAAAGAATTGGAAGCTGCAGATCAATGAACACAACCAGGAGTAGACAGGCCATGATGTCTGAGATGGTTTGAAATCAGATTTGTGGAAAGAGCTAATTACTGTAGGCTGGCCTCCTTATCCAGAGGCATCGACAGACAGAAATAGTGTTTTGTTTTTATACATCCAGCTGTCTGTCCATGACTCTTACAAGACTAAGAGAAGGCATTGTCCACAAACATTCCAGTATGAACATCTTAGCACAAATGACCATTTAGGTTTTTATTTTCCTCTAAGCGATTGTACAGTCTTAACATTGCACAAATTTTAGGTCACTAATATACTTGCAAATTATTGTTTTCTTCTTTGAATGATATTAGATTACCAACAATTTTCAGTCAGGCCATCTGGACAGTTTCTTTTTTGCTGAAACGTTTCGCCTTCGATCCAGAAGGCTTCATCAGTCAAGGAAACACACAACACAAAACTGATTCTTCCCCCAAACAGCTTACTCCAAAGTGGAGCAAACCAGTTATGTTGGTGCTAAGATGGTGTCTTTGGCACGCCCCCTCCTCCGATGCCGGCCCTCTTCCTCGTTGACAGTCATGTCAAACTGGTTCAAAACCAAAAAAAGTCCATGCTCAATAATCCAGGTAT